AAATAAAAGCATAAACGAAGATATCCAATCCAATAACACAAGTAGAAAACAAAACAAAACTGTAAAGTGACTTCCAACGGAAAATATACACCATTTACTTCAACAACAAAATATCAACTGTAATCATCATTACTTAACAGCGTTTGTTGGTGTATATCCAATTCCTTCACACGATATGATCGCCGATCCATTTGCCAATTCCTGAATTTCGAATTTCACCTTTATTATAAATGGAAAGTAGAGAAGTGGAAATTTAAGTGGACACTTGCAGAAGACAGTAAAAACCATGAAAAGAAAAAGGAAGAACAGCCGCAAAGGGACGCACACACACACACACAACCTGGTAATCTATTCACATACAGCGATGCGCAGAAATCGAGGGATGTGTCAGATTATAAGACAAACATGTTTTTTTTGGCACAGGCACAGTGACAGATAATATAAAAACAATCTGATTTATATAAAAAAACTAGGAAATTTCTTTTTCAGTAGAGCAAAAGCTGAAAGATTTTAAGGCTGACTAGTTTCAATATAGAACTTTGCACAGATGTGAAACAGTTCGAGATGCCAGCCCCCCCTCCCCATGTGCATATACCACACAAAGCAAGATAAAAGGATGATGAGGGGGTAATATACAGCGCCATTGAGCCAACCATATATCACCACCAATTACCTCCAGCCCTCAGTGGTTTTTATCATCTCGGGAATCCTAACTAGCCAGTCTATACCTCCCAACGTCACTGGCTGGCTGGTTTAAACTAACTGTTGTGGATTTGATCGATTGATGAGACCATTTTTTGGTTTGACCATCACCATCACCGCGTGCTAGCTCTTTCCAACCTAATCCACCCAGTCAGCTGGGCTAAGATTGACCGTCACTCGAAGAAGGTGATCGATGAATGGAGATGCATGAGTAACACATGTCCTACCCATGTCACTCAATGAATGAAGATTTAAAACAATTAGTTCCCTTTACGAATTTAGATAAAGCAGTAAGCAGACGTAATTTGTCTGAATCGTGTAATTTATTTGAGCGCAACACATTTCGAACAATCTGATCACACACGGACTTGTCAGAGGAATATACATGAAACTAATAAAGAAGTAAGAGGTGAGAAAATAGGCTTAAGTCAAGTTAAAAGGAGATATTCAAGTCAAAATAACAATGAAGACCATTAAACCAAATAGCAGAGGTAATAATACATCTGCTATATCACCAAAACAAAAATTAACCAAGGAAGGTTTAATGTGATGAAAAATTATTTTTGAACGCAAAAAGGTGGCTTGAACATTCTAAATGCTAGGGCTTCCACAAACTTTAGGATACGCCCCAAACACCTTTTATAGATAGGTTTAAAAGATCTGTTAACATCAATTTTATGTCCTGTCTCTATAATATGTTTCTCAATAGAAGAGCTAGGTCTCCTGTTCTCACCGTTTATGTTCTGAAGATTCCAATGTAGATTCACAACCTCGTCAATTGGTTTTCCTTCCTTTTCGTTTTTGTAGCACCCGGTCGACGCCTCACCTCCCTATTATACCACCTAAACTAATGTGTGAGATAGAATGCAGACACCTATATGATCACAGACGGCAAGCTAGCCGGCCTTTTTATTTCTTCTACTTCTAATGACCATGTCTCACTTGTAACCTTCCATAGAGGAGGATAGAGAGAACTGTTGCTGAGCAGCACACGCGTTGTTTGGTCGACAGTTAGTCGGATATCACGTCTGCTAAGCGCGAGATGAGGTAAGTTGTTGGCAAATGCTAAACGGGTCTTCTGAATTCGGACTGAGCTTTTGCCAGCGATTAAACCACTGAGGCTGATTTCAAAAGCCAATAAGTTACCTCTCTACATAAACAGTAACTGACTCTTAGTTTCAAACTACAATGTTAAATACATATTTTCACCCAAAGAGTAATTTTGTCTATTAATTTCAACCAGGAAGATTTGGTAAGGAAGTTGTGCATCTGTGTATGATCAGCGAATATCGTAAAACTAAGTTATTATCACGCTAGATAGAGATTGAGGTTACACGTTGAGTGCTAGAAAACGAGGGGAAGGAAAACCAATTGACGAGGTTGTGAATCTACATTCATTGAGTGACATGGTTAGGATATGTGTTACTCATGCATCCCTACTCACCGATCGCCTTCCTCGAGTGACAGCCAGTCTTAGCCCAGCTGACATAGGGTGGATCATGTTGGAAAAGAGCTGGTACGCAGCGATGGTGGTGGTCAAACCAAAAAATGGTTTCATCAATCGATCAAATCAAAATCAGTTAGTTTAAACCAGTCAGCCAGCCAGCGACGTGGAGAGGTATAGGCTGGTTTCCTGACTGGCTGGTTGGGATCCTCGAGATGGTATGAGCCATTGAAGGCTGAAGGCAATTGGTGGTAATATGGTTGGCTCAAAGTCATTCTTAATGGCACTGTTTATTGCCTCTCTTCATTCTTTTGTCTTGCTTTGTCGGGTACATGGACATGGGGGGTGGCAACTCGAACTGCTGCATTTATATATATATATATATATATATATATATATATAGTAATGGATACTCGAATCAAACAACTTACACCAAGCATAAGTTCAGCAACATAAATCACAGTTTTAGTATGCATTGTCAATGGTCCAGTCCGTATTTGTGACTTCCCCTTAGCCAATGCCATTGGAATGATGAGCTGAAAGCCAAAAGGGAGAAGTAAATGTTAGAGTAAACTAAAATGTGAGGTGTCTGTCATATGAAAGCTTTCAAAGGCCTGGCCTGGAATGTACACTGATGACACTGTCTCACAACTATTTGAGATATGCCTTTATTCTACACAAAGGGAATACAAGAATGGTGACAGAATAAATCAAAATACAATGAAGGATAAACATTAAAAAAATGATGATGATGATGAACTTTTCATTAATTTTAAAATTATCCACTTCAAAATTAGAAGTGTTTTGTGTTCTTCACCATTGTCCGTAACTTGTAATAGAGGTCCTTCTCACGACTCATTTACCACTAACAACATAAAAAATAGTCTTCTCTGGGCAACTTAATCAAATAGGACTATGTCATATTGAGGAGAAGCGTGAGAAATGATATATGCATTCACACCGTAACTCCATCACATGATAAATCACACGATTCTTGAGAAAGGATGACATATTTTATGCCGGGTCCTGTCAGTCTATCATAATCAAAACTCATTCAATTATCCATCTTAATTTACAACTATAATACACTTATTGAACTTCTTGAATGCGTTGACAACTCATCACTACTCACCACCTTCTTACCAATTTTCAACCCACTCAACCCTAGTTACAATTTGATTAATCATCACATTTTTATTCTGGTCTGACAAACGTAATGTACACATACACAAACGCAAATAACTAACTATACACATAATTGCGATATTCAGACAACCTGTTCCCTTTATTAGTTTAAATAGAGAAAAAAACGAACATATTTGCAGTCTTGTTATAGCTGCAATGAGTTAAAGTAAAACCCCGTCGCCAATTTGTTATAACTGTAGGGAATTGAATGAAGACGTTTTCACCTTGCTCTGTCTGCGCCTGAACTAATCTGCCTATCTGCTTGTCGTACCTTCCGATTTAGTAAAGCACGCAAATATCAAAAGACAAAGGCTGGACTGTGACTGTGTATTGAAGTGCAACAACGACAAAGAAAGCCATGGTATTTATACATTTTACAACAATATGGACAGCTAACAGCATTTGAAATAATTTATCTTAATAGCCAATAACAAAGTGCGTGAGAGATGATAATATACCATATGTGCGAGATTGACAGTCATAACAAAATGTGTGGGAATGATAATATACCATATATACAAGATTAACAGTCAATACCAAAATGTGTGGGATCCTATCACCTCCCCGTAAAGAGTGTAGGACTTGCTTTTTGGATCTATTTGAAAAGGTTTCGGAGCTCTTCTTTGTCGAGTTGACCTTTGCGTGGTACTGGATAGAGCGTGATCTGTGTGTCTGACACATAACTGTCCTTTTCATTCGTACGATAATGCAGCAAGAATTTATCCAAAATTTCTTCTGTTGTTCCCTCCCCCTTCGCTTTTGCATAAGCACGCTTAAAGGTGTCGACGAAACGTTCAGTCTGTCCATTCGATTGGGGATGATACGGGGGCTACGAATATGCTGGATGCCAAACAGTTTGCAGCAACCAAGTTTGTCCTGGAAGACAGAAGCGTGCTTTTGACGACGGCGTTGCAAGAGAGATTGATCAGATACATCTCCGGGAACAACGTTGTGTGGTGAAGACGAAACATTAGAGCATACTGAATTTAATGGTACATTAAAGATATGGAGCTTGTCTAACCAGTCAAGACCAAGCAAATTCAAATCATGGTAGTTTGTAACGTAACATACACCATTGAAGTGATGCTCACCAAACTGAACCTGGCAATTTATCTCACCCACGAGTTTCAGTATATCTCCAGAGACATTCTTGGCGACATGCTCGGTCGGCAGAATCTGTGGGCAACCAAGTTTGCGCCACGTAGTTCGGGAAATTACGGTGATATCTGATGCCGTATCCAACTGAAGACGAATACGTTTGCCGTTAATATCTAGTGTTATGTACTTACGTTTGCTGGCGAATCGACTTTGGAAGTTGTGAAAATGGTCTGTACTCGAGGAGATTGTTTCGGCTTGAAACGACTACTTCTGTTCCTCACCGAAGATTTTTCTGCGGTGACAGTAACCCTCCTTATGTCCAAAACGGTGACAATTACGGCATTTATGCTTCTTGAAAGGACAGAACTTGACAAAATGCCACGAACCACAGTGCCAGCACACTGAAGGAGGTTTAGCTGAATTTGAGACTGACGTGCTGTGTGCTTAACGGTGATCGGAGGACTTTTCACTGTGTTAATGAACCAAATTCAGACGACTGTCGTTTGCACTCCACCATAGCAGTATCGTGCTTCAAGTTGATTAAACGTAGGCATTCTGCTGTCACCATTTGTAAAGTCATTTTCGGGTCTTGTTCCACGAGTGACAGAAGTCGAGTTCGTATGTCAGTATCTTCTGGGTTCTTCAACCCACAAATAAAAATCAAACACTTGAACTGATCTGATGTCATTTCGTGTGGTTTGAACCTTTCACATTCCTTGTTCACTTTGCCAGCGTAAGTGACATAATCATCGGAAGGCATTTTTGTCAACTGAAAACATTGATACCGAATATTAAACATGGATGACTGTTCACCAAAGATTTGTGATAAAACGGTGACTGTCTCATCGAATGATAACTCACGTGGGTTCTTAGGCAGAATGAAGTTAACATATCTGTTGTGCTCAACAGTACCAAGTTTTCTTAGTAACAATCGGACTTTGGCAGCATCATCAAACATGTAGCATTCAATACGGAAGACGTCTTCGTAACGATTGAACCATGCATCAAATACGAGACCAGATATTGGGTCGTAGTTGAACTCACTGATGGAATTTGAGATGCTTTCATATTTGTCAGAATGAGATGTTGATGGAACTTGAATGGACAGCTTCTGAGTGAGAGCTTCGATTAATTTTAGTTGAGCTGCTTCATTCTGAACTGCTGCTGCTGCAAGATAGATTTGAGATCGTCCAGAGAGATAGACATTGTAATTGGGTTGTAATTAACACAGTCAAAAATGTTATATAGCTGCGCTGAACAGAATAAAAACTGTCGTCGTTTGCTTGCTATAACTGCAATGAATTAAGGTAAAACCCCGTCGCCAATTTGTTATAACTGTAGGGAATTGAATGAAGACGTTTTCACCTTGCTCTGTCTGCGCCTGAACTAATCTGCCTATCTGCTTGTCGTACCTTCCGATTTAGTAAAGCACGCAAATATCAAAAGACAAAGGCTGGACTGTGACTGTGTATTGAAGTGCAACAACGACAAAGAAAGCCATGGTATTTATACATTTTACAACAATATGGACAGCTAACAGCATTTGAAATAATTTATCTTAATAGCCAATAACAAAGTGCGTGAGAGATGATAATATACCATATGTGCGAGATTGACAGTCAGTAACAAAATGTGTGGGAATGATAATATACCATATATCAAGATTAAGAGTCACTACCAAAATGTGTGAGAATGATAATATACCATATATACAAGATTAACAGTCACTACCAAAATGTGTGGGATCCTATCAAGTCTGAAATGTAGAGATTGAATGTAATATATAACCAGAAATTCATATCCTGCAAAAATGCTTCTAATATGTGAAAACTGTTTAAGGAAATCACTGGTGGTAAGCAGATAAACAATATTGTGTATTCTTTTGATGTATATACCTCTTAATAAATCTTTTATCTACTCTCCCTCAAATGCCATGCTTCCCAGTATCACTGGTGTTAATAATAGCCCCTTTCCAGGTTTTAACACAAATGATGTTCAAAAGTGCCTTAAGTCTCTAAACCCATCCCAGAGCTTAGGTCCAGATTATGTACCTAGTATTATTTTTTAAAAATGTTCTGATATTCTGTCTCACCCTCTCACTGATCTATTTAACAAATCTTTTTCCAACAATATTGTGCCTGCCATTTGGAAGGACATTAAAGTTGTAGCTATACCTAAATTATCTACTGGAGCATGTGTCAAATTTAGATCCATTGGTATTACATCTCCTTTTTTGAAAACTTTGGAGAAATTACTTTTACTTAGCCTTGTACCTTCGGTTAAATCCTTTAATGACCCTAAACAATTTGCCCTTAAGCACTTTAGATGCAGCTGCCGTCTTTATATCATAACATTGATTCCAGTCTAGACAAGGGGGCTAAATTTGTTCGTTGTGCCTTCCTAGACTATACATTTGCTTTTAACTTGGTCCCAAGGGACATCTTATTAAATAAACTTGCTGCGGGTCAAAAAGAATGTTGGGCTATTAACTGGTTACATTCCTATTTCTCAGAACGAAAGCAGTACACCGTGTATTAAGGGAAGTCTTCCACTTCATTGCCTACTGAAGCTGGTATCCCTCAAGGCACTGTCCTTTCTCCTTTTCTTTTTTCTTTCTTCTTACATGACTTGTCTCACTCAGATGAAAAAATCTGTGAAGTACGCTGATGATTTAACAGTTTCAATGGCTGTTAACTCCAGCTAGATTGTACCAAAATGAATAGCTTTCTGTCGGGAGTCAGTAAATCGTCTGAGTCTAACGGTCTTCAAGTGAATCCTTCTGGATGTCAAACTGTTGATTTCAGCTTAAGATGTAAGCGACAGTAAAAAGTTGTCGATTCTCATGACAGTTGTAAGATTGACGACAATGATATAGGAATTAAGTCTGAAATTAAGTATCTCGGACTTATTCGCTCTTCTGATTTCTCCTGGTCTTCCCATGTCTTAGCGATCTCCAGTAAAATATTCCGCCTTACATTTTACATTAAGAAGTTAAGGCACTCGGGTATAACTTAACCCCTCCTTTTACAGTTAGTTCATTATCTCTTGCATCCTACCTATTCTTCTTTATTGTTCACCCTTATTCTTTCCCGGTTTGCTTAAAAAGGACTATGCCACAATTTGTAGAATGCTGAAGACGGTCAGTAGGGTGAGTGGTATCCCAGTGGACCACATAGTTAACGTCGTTGTCGATAGGCACTTGACTTCGTGCAATAAGTTTGCTAAAGGGATTTTGTCTGACTTGGAGCATCCGCTTTACCCTCAGCTTTCACCTTGCATCTCCTCAGGTAGAACAAGGAGTAACTTCAGAAAACTGTATGCTCGCACGTCTAAGTATAGAAATTCTATGATACCATACTTGGCACGTATTTTATGTGATGAAAATAGTGTCAGGCAAGAATTAACTAACCTATTTTCATCTAGTAAATAAACAATTTCCTCCATCCATCCTTATATACCTTCAAAGTTTACTTTTATTATTTCTATTATATTCATAGTCCTGTTGCTTTTTTGTTTTACTTCCATAATTACAAACACCAACTTATCTCCATGACTGCTGTAATCTTTGTTTTCTCCCTCACCATATCATGTAAAGACAACATTATATTCAATATTTTTAAACATGTTAGGATTTCTATACCGCATTGACAATACTGTGTGACACAAGCCAACGGCGATTTTCACTTGTATTCTTATTATTATTACCTTAGCTGTTATCATTATTATTATTTCCCTCTTATATGCTGCATGTTTTTGACACTACCTCTATTGTAAATGTGGAATAAATTCTGTGTGATTAATTTCATTTATAATTTGAGGAAATTAGATGCAATATTGTGATTAATGCTGAAAAATCCATTCTGTATCACTAGTACTGTTTTTGGGATAAAGTAAATAATTATTATTATTATGCTAGCTTGTTTTGTGGTGAGAGGAGGCTGCTAGCCAAATTGGTAGACATTAATTTACGCCAATGTCTAGGTGACTAATATGGGCCGTGAGAAAATATGAACAAGGCTGTTTCAACAACCAATCACAGCAAACTTAAACATGGGCAAATATGATTCGCAGATAGATGCCTCCACTTTCCGAGGAACTCGAAAACAACCAATCAGAAGACTGCGTTTGTCTACTTGACTAGGCTATAATAATGTATGTGAAATTTATATAAATACGTATTGATTTCCGTAATAAAACGATCTGTTGCCTGGCCCTTGTCTTCTGTTGTTACAGTTTTATCTTCAACTGCATGCATCCTAAACAAAATCAAATTATCGGTTACAAAATTTCTGAACATACTTTTACAATCACTTCAATTTATAGAAAGGAAGTATAAGCACCATAATTTCAAAGATGATGTGAGTAGACAATTATTTGGTGTTAAAAGAGTAACTATTTATATAGTAATTAGACAAGGGGGGCTTGAGAATTTCAGATTTCGATTGGAAACAAGGATGGACTAGAGATAAAATACAAGATAGGACAACAGAGTAAATTTATACATATCGTGGTGGAGAATGGGGGGGGGTGAACAGTGAAGTAAAATCATAAGATGGATAAAATAATTTAACAGATTTGGAAACTTAATGAGTTCAACTCAGTAAATGAAAATCAAAACTGAATGGAATATTATACAACAGAACAAAACACAAGAGCACACAGACAAAACAATTGCGGTTACCAAAGTAGTGAGAGATTAGTCATATAATCTATCTTTATCGATTACATGAAAGTTTGACTAACTTCCATTGTATGTCCCATGTAAATTAACTGTCAGGCAATTGCACTCGAGAACATTTGCAGTTGGAGGTGACATACGGAACAGGATACTTATCTAATTTTGCCTGAGTTAACGAGCAGACTGTGTTGTAAAGTGGAATGAGTCTGGCGGCGGATAATGTTCTTTCCAATGCACCTTTAATTCAATTTTCTGTTCTTGTGGATACTTTTTGCCTTTGTACACTACACAAATAAAAACTGGTTTCTTTTCAACAACTACTCGGATTTCACTTCAGGTGGTTTTTGATATGAACTTTCGCAGGTGTCCATTTTCGATAAGGTTCTTTTTGATGACGCCGAGTTCCTCTTCGATCTTATATTCTGAACACAACGCCACTAACTCTGCTGAAGAGCGTTTCCTCCAGGTTCCGTTTGCTGCCAATCGGGCAAAAGCAGTGAAAATTCAAGCATTGACTAGTCCAATTTTCTTTCCTGTAGATGGATTTCTCAATCATCCCATTATTTCTCCTTTTATTTTAAGGTCTAGAAGTGGAACTAATTGTCATATTCATGGTCCATTGTAAATGCTGTGTGAGGATGAACCACACAGGTGCCATCAACAAACCTGAAGTGATAGGTGGGTCTCTCTATTTCTGGCTTCATTCGTGTTTGTTCAATATGAACCATGAATATTAGATAATTGGAGAAATCTGCCACAGGAAGCCTTGCACCTAGGTTTCGTGCTAGTTGGCACTCATCAGCAAAGCGTATCTGCAACCTTGAAGGAACTTATGTTCCTTCTGAGATTCGAACCCGCGTCATCCAGTGCTGCAGTCAGAGACCTTACCAGAAGGGACATGAGTTCCTTCAAGGTTGCAGATATGCCTTGCTGATGAGTGCCAACTAGCACGAAACCTAGGTCCAAGGCTTCCTGCCGATTGTTTCCAACTATCTAATATCATCAAATTAATGTGCACCGTGGCGGCGAGCAACCAGAATGGTGGCCACATTGTAAAAACCTGACTGATAGAATTCAGTCTGCACCAAAGTTTGTCTGAATGGGGATTATTCGTGTGAATTGAAAAGATAAGAAATAATACAAACAACAAAGCAACTAACCTGATCCTGAATATGTTCATCACAACACGCTCCAATCTCCACGTATTTATACAATGATTCGAAAGCTTCAGATACTAACTGCTTGTGAGATGGACCTCGAGGAGCAGAAATTCCAGAGACAGCCAAAATACAATCCGTTGAAGTATGCAACATATACCTAGAGTAAATTAATTAACATCGTCAAAAGTTGTTTTTTGATTTTTCGAGTTTTTACACGGATTGATATCAGTTGGATAACCATCGAAAACCACCGGGAAGTACTGGGAAGCTGTCTCGCACTGGTTTGGGACTTGTCGGCAGTGCGCACCCATAGTCAGGGTTCCGACCCAAGACCTTTCAGTTACAAAGCAAGCTCGTACATCATTCAGACACGGGAACCCAACTCAACGACTAGCCCATGAGTTCTAACTTCTACCAATTCGTGATTTTAACGCGATTTGCACCAGCCAATGTCATCGGTGAGTAGTCTTCCTCATTTCCAACCGGATGTACCCCCACGGCCAGTCATGACTTCTCACTAGAACTCCAAGAAACTCCATCCAGTAGCCAGTCACTAGTGAGCATCGGACAATTGACATCTATCTCAAATATTTACATATTTATGTAGAAAAAGCGTCGGTGGCACGGCGGTTAGGACGCTTACCGACCATGCACATGGTCCGGGTTTCGATCCCCGGCCGATGCCGCACCCTTTACCTCGCTATGCCAGAAATAATGCTGGTAAAGAGGAACGTGAAGGTATATATATATATAACAAGTTTCACTCATTTCATGCCTACAAGTGAAAAGATATTCTTAAAATTCGATGCAGATACAAAGATGCAATTATCAATGATGAAATCTAATGGCGATCCGAATTCCTTTTCACCATCCTGAATGCTAACAACATAATAACAATAAATCTTAAAATTAAGAACCATGGAATATCAACCCAAAAACAAAAACAAGCGAATCCAGCATGAGTACTCGGTAGTATAGTAATAGTATACTAACCTCTAAATATTGAAGTGAAAAAGGACAACTTAATCTTGATGTTGTTTTTATTCTTATTGTTGTTGTTCCCTCGAGTTCCAAGTGGAACGCAGGGAGCTTCAACAGGACGTCTCCACTCTGTCCTATTCTATGCGGTTCTGTTTGGCTGCTTGGCTCCACAATTGTCCATATACTGTCCAATCGCCTCCATGTCACCCTCGGATTAGCTACACTTAATTCGTTGTTTCCCATTTTCGATTCCATTCGAGTGATGGCCTGCAGCATTACGCGCGAGGTCATTCGACGTAGAGTGTGCCCAAGCCATCTCCATTTTCTTCGGAGTATTTGTTGGGCGATAGATTCTTGGTTAGTTAGCTCCCTTAGTTTCTTGTTACTAATTCTTTCTCACCGGCCAATTGATCTTCAGTGTGGAGCCAGAAAAGTGGGCAGCTGTCGATAAGAGCCTACAGCAGCTTGTTGGAAATGCTATTGGTGATGGGCGCGCCAAGTATCTGACTCATATAGAAAAACTGACTGACTTGACATTTGTGTTGAAAATTCGAATCTTGTTGGTTATGCTGTTTGAGTGCTGATTTCCTTGCCTTTTCGATTCTGGCTTTGGCGTCTTCATCCGGCCTGGCTGTAAGTGAAACGATGCTGCATAGATAGGTGACTGAAGAAAATGACCTCCTTTATATTTCTATCGTCGATAGTCATTGGTGTTGATTCTTCTTGTTGTTGGTTGGTTGATTATCTTTATCACCTCTGTCTTCCCGACGTTCACTTGAAGTCCTGTCCTTGCTGCCTGCTCTTTCTGTCATCTTGTTGGTTTCCCCCTGTAAGCCTTCCAATTTACATGATATTAGACATAAGTCATCTGCGAAATCCAGACCTCCTAGAGTCTTCTAATCGGTTTAGTGTATTCCTGTCTTCTTGCCCGTCATACACGGTGTTCCGTACATTTCAGTACACCCCAATTAGGAGTAATACTAGGTGGTAATACGTTGGCAGCCTTACCTTACTCTTCTATTCCCTTCGGACATTTCGATGGGTATTTCATTGTGAATCACCTGACACGTACCATTTTCTTATAGCCAGTTGTGGAATGAGGTTGATCTAAGGCACACCAAGATGTTGAATTAATTTGAAAGTTACTTTACGGTGAGCACTGTCGAAGGATTTTCGAAAGTCTTCTAATTTACTAGCTCGGTAGTATTCTAGACGATCCCAAGCCCAGGAATAGAGGGAGTTGGCTGTAGGGGTAGTGACCCTATCCCAGAAAATCAATCAAACTGCTACTTCAAACTTCAATGCACAGTCCTGACGTAGGTTCCAAATAATGAGTGCCGGAGATTGAACACATTTCACTCAAGTTAGTGAAGTCAACCGGATGAGCAACCAACCACCATATATCGTTTCCGGTTTGTAAGCAAACTCATGGAAATTTAGGTGTTAACGAAAGAAGGCCCGTAAACGACTGCATTTATGAAAACAAAAATTTGACCAACAAAACGTAAATGAGTCCCTTTCACATACATAAATGTAGCAACATTGCCCTGGCAACGATCATCACTTTCCCGAAAGGAATGAATATCCACAGAACACTTGGGAAACAGCCTTCCAATACAACGAGATGCTTCGGTTTTCATTTCGTGGGCAACCTAGCTGAATACAACACAAAAAGTAAATCAATTTCTGTACCAATAAATAGTAGGTGACTCTAAATAGTAGCAGCCCAAAACGAGACTACTTAATAAAGACCTTGTCAAATCTCCATCAACCAATCAGATGCGTCCGAAGTTGAGGTGTGTAATTTAAGAAAAACGTTTATATAAAAGTAATGCAATGTTTAAAAAGTAGTTATGTAGAATAACATGTCCTTGAATACGTTCTAACAAAACCTTTAAATTTCCCATAGGAGTCCTCATAGTTAAGTTGAACCAATTCCGGTACAAAAATCCATGGAGATAACTGCAAATCCTCGTGTTTCTTGGTTCATTCACCTCTCTGATCCTCTTACTTGAGTGACTCTAAAAACTTTCGGCGACATCTGTGTGAGTCACACCGAAAAGATAAATGAAGTCGTCTGCATGATTGACCACGATATGAATATAGCCCAGGGATGACAGTTGGCTACATGTTTACTCTCTTCCAATGAACCTGTTGTCTAAGCAGTACTTCAATATTATATTTGGACGAAATTCGCTGTGTGATCCGTGTACAGCATCCATAATTTCGTCTATCTAGTACGGACTTATCTCACTGGTTGCTCAAGGTCATTAATCCGTTCAACAGGTACTTCTGTTCTGGGCTGCTATGATTTAGAGTCACCCAACAGTGAAATAATATTAAAAGAATATTCTAGGAAGAAGCATAACGTGTACAATATAACCTTTGTTTAAATAATGTACAACTTTCTCTAATGTTAGGAAGACACAAATTACACCTTTGATTATTATTGCAAAATAAGTGGGTTATCCATTCTTTGCATGAGTAAGCAATATTCTGGTGGTTCCCAATTCACGATGACTATAAACCTAGATTGTAAGCTCAATAACCATGCGTAGATTAAGTGCCACTGCTTGGGAAAAATAGATGCGGTAAAACCAGGCAGGCTTTAGACCAGAAAGAGGGTGTATCGATAAAATCTTCACCCTTAGATAGATTCTGGAACGGAACATAGGCACACTTACCGGCTTCCAACACTCGTCATATTTCTTGACCTGAAAGCGCCATTCGATTTTGTCGACCGAGAAGTACTATGGTGATGTTTGGCTGTGAAAGGAATGCCGAGAAAATACATCGCTCTGATTAAGGTAGTCTACTCGAACTCAAGCAGCCAAGTGAGAGCATACGGAGAGTTGTCAACTGAAGTGGTGACAACCAATGGTGTATATCAGGGATACCCATTATCCCTATTTCTGTTTAATTCCATCGTATAAGTACTGATGTAATTGACCCTAACCGACTTCAGCGACTCAAGGATTGACATATTAGTTTGATTATTAAATGTATCACACAGTGAAACAGTATTGTATACTGGATGACGTTTCGAACACAATTTATTGTTCATAATCATATCAATTTTTGTCACACGACTTCGAGATTTGATTTTTATAGTTTTCTCTGTCTTCTCCTATTTGTTGTATGGGCAGTAGAATTTTCCATATATCTGGGACAGGTGTTGAATCATTCCTATTACATGTATTTGCAGTTGATTCGATAAACAAAGCTTCTGTTATCAATCTCTCCCTATACCCTGTGACATTAGATTTTAAAACTGTCATCCTATCCCATCCTATTGTATGGTTGTGTGTAACTGCATGTAGTGCTATAGCTGAACTACTCTCTAGATTTCTTATCTTATTCGGGTCAACCAATCTAGATTTAGCTAGGTTTTTATGTTCGGCTAGTCTGACTGCCCCTGTTCTACTAGTTTGACCTATGTATTTGACCTCACAATCATTGCAGGGTATTAGATAAACTAAATTGTTTTGTTTTAATGGCTCTACAGGATCCTTTAACCGACAAAGCTTGTTTCTAATTGAGTTTGTGGGTTTGAATGCCACTTTTATTCCTGCCTTGTTAAGAATTCTGCGTAAGGCTTCCGAGGTTCCTTCTTTGTATGGAATTATTGTTGATGATTTACATTCCTTATTGTTGGTGTCGTTATTATTATTATTATTATTACTATTATTATTACCATTATTATTATTGTTATTATTATTATTGTTATCATTATTATTATTATCACTATCTCTGTTATCATTATTTATTTTATTTTTACATTTACTTACATATTTCTTGACTAATTTATCCGGGTAATTATTAAGTTTCAAGGCTTCTTTTATGTGTGTCACTTCCTGTCTTAGATTTTCCTTGGTACTACTTAGTTTTTGTGCTCTGTCATTTAAACATTTCACTAATCCTATTTTTACTGACATAGGATGGGATGATCGGAAATCCAAATATCTGTTTGAATGTGTGGGTTTTCTGTAAACACTAGTGTTTAGCTTCCCATCTTCTTTCCTTTTTACGTTGCAATCTAACATTGGAAGTTCCCCTTCCTGACTTTCCAATTCATAAGTGAATTGAATTGCCTCTACCTTCGAGTTGATGTGCTCGAAAAATCTATCTATATCTTGTGTTCTAAGTACAGTGAATGTGTCATCTACATACCTCCACCATACTTTTGGGGTGGGGGTGAACGTTTCAATCGCTATCTTTTCCCACCTATCCATGAATATATCTGCTACCACCGGGGATATTGGTGATCCCATGGCAACTCCCTCAGTTTGTTTGTATATTTTCCCTTGGAATTTAAATACTGTAGAAGTCAGGCAAAGCTGTACTCCCAGCATTATGTCCTCAATTGGCACTTTTGTCCTAAGTTCGAGTTCTTGGTCAGAAATGAGTTCGTTTCTGACCGCCTCTATAGCCATATTTATTGGTATACGTGTATATAAACTGACAATGTCAAAACTAACCATTTTTTCTTCATTATCTAATTTTAAATTATCTAATCTGTGTTTTAGTTCATAAGAATTAGTTAGTCTAGATTTCGAGTGGATTTTTAGGGGATTTAATACCATGGCTAAATATTTAGATAATTCATAGGTAGGTGAATTTCTAAAATCAACTATAGGCCTAATAGGGTATCCTGATTTATGAATTTTAACAACACCATACATCCTACTGGGGTTATTAGTTTTTGGCATTAAATTAAACCACTTAGACTCACCTAGAAACGGCTTCATTCGGCGTATAAGGTCCGCTGTGGATTTCTTAACTTTATTCATAACTGTGTCTATTGATTTATTAATTTCCTCATATGGTCCTGTTTGTATGTGAGTATTTACCTTGTCCAAATAGTCCGATTTGTCTAATACTACTGTTGCGTTCCCTTTGTCTGACTTTGTGATTACTATATCCTTGTTATTCTTGAGGTGTTTTAGGGCTTTTGTCTCTTGTTTTGTCAGGTTAGGTTTTCCACATTTTTGTCGTTTTAATGTAAGTGCACATTGTGCACGTACTTCTTCAGCTGTTGTTTTGTCTATCCCACTTAGTGCTATTTCTATTTTAGGGATGACATCCTCAGGTTTTAGCTTGTCCACCGCTACATTGAAGTTTAGTCCCTTTTCTAATACACTTATTTCCATCGGACTTAATATATGTGATGAGAGATTGATAACCCACTTTGATTTATCGATCGCCGTTGATTTTGGATTGTTGACTTCATTATTCTGAGATGAAGATTTCTCCTCTAATAATTTGTTGAACTTTTTGATTTGACTATTTTTTGACTTTTTGAAAGTGGCTGATTTTGCATTGTTGGAGGATTGTGTTATAAGATCATAATCTACATTGGTAACTATTCCTTTTAGCTTTTGTTTTAATTGCTCAATTTCACATCTGATATGTTGTAATTTTCTAACGATTCTGTGGATCTCTTCTTTCAGGCATAATTTTTGTAGACTTTCTATTCTGCTTCTAACTCTGTCCGTTGGAACTGGAGCTCGTAGACGTAGATATTTAGGAATGATTTCATTTTTTAAGCATCGAATGTTAAAAATACGGTGATTTTCATATCTTGCTTCAGTTTGTGAAAGTCGAGTGAGTTTATTGATAAGTCTTCGTACAGGAAGACCATAAGTCATGTTAATATATGTGTAAAACTTGGGCACTGTGGTATTAAGTAATTCCATATTAGTTTGATTATTAAATGTATCACACAGTGAAACAGTATTGTATACTGGATGACGTTTCGAACACAATTTATTGTTCATAATCATATCAATTTTTGTCACACGACTTCGAGATTTGATTTTTATAGTTTTCTCTGTCTTCTCCTATTTGTTGTATGGGCAGTAGAATTTTCCATATATCTGGGACAGGTGTTGAATCATTCCTATTACATGTATTTGCAGTTGATTCGATAAACAAAGCTTCTGTTATCAATCTCTCCCTATACCCTGTGACATTAGATTTTAAAACTGTCATCCTATCCCATCCTATTGTATGGTTGTGTGTAACTGCATGTAGTGCTATAGCTGAACTACCCAAATTTGAACCACCCAAAAGTATGGTGGAGGTATGTAGATGACACATTCGCTGTACTCAGAACACAAGATATAGATAGATTTTTCGAACACATCAACTCGAAGGTAGAGGCAATTCAATTCACTTATGAATTGGAAAGTCAGGAAGGGGAACTTCCAATGTTAGATTGCAACGTTAAAAGGAAGGAAGATGGGAAGCTAAACACTAGTGTTTACAGAAAACCCACACATTCAAACAGATATTTGGATTTCCGATCATCCCATCCTATGTCAGTAAAAATAGGATTAGTGAAATGTTTAAATGACAGAGCACAAAAACTAAGTAGTACCAAGGAAAATCTAAGACAGGAAGTGACACACATAAAAGAAGCCTTGAAACTTAATAATTACCCGGATAAATTAGTCAAGAAATATGTAAGTAAATGTAAAAATAAAATAAATAATGATAACAGAGATAGTGATAATAATAATAATAATGATAACAATAATAATAATAACAATAATAATAATGGTAATAATAATAGTAATAATAATAATAATAATAACGACACCAACAATAAGGAATGTAAATCATCAACAATAATTCCATACAAAAAAGGAACCTCGGAAGCCTTACGCAGAATTCTTAACAAGGCAGGAATAAAAGTGGCATTCAAACCCACAAACTCAATTAGAAACAAGCTTTGTCGGTTAAAGGATCCTGTAGAGCCATTAAAACAAAACAATTTAGTTTATCTAATACCCTGCAATGATTGTGAGGTCAAATACATAGGTCAAACTAGTAGAACAGGGGCAGTCAGACTAGCCGAACATAAAAACCTAGCTAAATCTAGATTGGTTGACCCGAATAAGATAAGAAATCTAGAGAGTAGTTCAGCTATAGCACTACATGCAGTTACACACAACCATACAATACGATGGGATAGGATGACAGTTTTAAAATCTAATGTCACAGGGTATAGGGAGAGATTGATAACAGAAGCTTTGTTTATCGAATCAACTGCAAATACATGTAATAGGAATGATTCAACACCGGTCCCAGATATATGGAAAATTCTACTGCCCATACAACAAATAGGAGAAGACAGAGAAAACTATAAAAATCAAATCTCGAAGTCGTGTGACAAAAATTGATATGATTATGAACAATAAATTGTGTTCGAAACGTCATCCAGTATACAATACTGTTTCACTGTGTGATACATTTAACAATCAAACTAATATGGAATTACTTAATACCACAGTGCCCAAGTTTTACACATATATTATCAAGGATTGACATTTTACCAGGGGATAATCTCGTTAACTTAGAACATGCAGATGATTAATTCCTCTGAGGTGAAGAGGCCAATGAAACGCACAGTCTTCTGAACACCTTGAACAGTAATCTTCGAATGTTTGGCATGCAATTCGCTTCTGATTTCAAATTTAGGATGATGCTACAGAACTCGACTACCTCAACTCACTTCTAGCTTAAAGATATGGAGTGAGCGAAGTGGTAGGGTGTGTTGATCCCTTTACTTACTTGGCAAGTTGCATCAGCCACCCCCAGTTGGCTGATCGCTGACAAAATCCTACAACGAATACAAAAGGCTTGTTTAGTATTTGCCAACAACTCACCCCATCTCTTGCTTAGTAAACGTGGTATATGGCTATCGATCAAGGGACGTGTGTATTGCTCAGCAACAGTTCGCTCCATCCCCCTTTATGGCTGGCTGTAAGTGACACATCTTCATTGAAAGTGGAAGAAATGAAAAGACAAGATACCCGGCCGTCTTTGATTATAGATGTCCGCATTCTACCTCCCACGTTAGTTTAGGTGGTATAATAGGGTGGTGAGTAACATTGAGATAAGGTGTCAGTCGAGTGCTAGACAATGAGAAGGAGGGAAAAGCAATCGATGAGGTTGCGAACCTACATTTATTGAATGACATGGTTAGGATATATGTTACTCACGCATCTCAACTCACCGATCGCCTTCCTTAACTGACGATCAATCTTAGCCTAGATGACATAGGGTGGATGAGGTTGGAAAAGAGCTAGCACACGGTGCTGGTGGTCAAACCAAAAATGGCCTAATCAATCTATCAAATCCACAACAGTTAGTTTAAGCCAGCCAGCCAGTGACGTTGGGAGGTATGGACTGGCCGGTTGGGATCCTCGAGATGGGGGGGGGCTGGAGGTAATTGGTGGTGATATGGCTGACTCAAAGTCGCTCTCAGTGACATTGTTTATTGGCTCTCTTCTGTTGCCATATGTGCTACAGGGATATGGGGGGTGGGAACTGGAACAATTACACATCTGGACAAAGTTCCACATTAAAATCAGTCAGTCAGGGATATTTCGCAATTTTGTTGAATTTCTGCCCCACAGTAATCAAGTAATTTCGTCAGTGAATCATTTCTTCTTATCATAGGCTACAGGATTAACTCTCCCGTGGGGAAACGACTCAAGATGCCACAGACTAAAAATGACTAACTGTAGTGGTTATTGTGTGTTAACCAATGTTTTTGTACCGATTTACTTGGTTAAGTTCGGCATTCACTCAAACGCCAAAACACAGTTATTAGACTTGAAACTCGGACTTACTTCAACACACAGAAGCTGGTTTTGAGGAAACAATTGTTTTCCACAAAAAATTCATCAGGCTTTAGTTATTAATCCATAAATATTAAACAGAGATTGAACGCAGACACCTATGACCAAAGACTACCGGCTTTATCAGTCTTTTCATATCTTCCACTCTCAATCACCATGTCTGACAGCCATAAAGGAGAGAAACATCCCACAGAAGAGATGGACGAAGACTTTATTTAATTATGCTTGACAAAACTTGTATGAAGTAAAACAGACTTAGACTGACATTATTAAGATATAACGGGGAAAGTTCAACTAAGGGAGGGTGGCGAGAGGGTTGGAGTATATGGAAGCATTTTAGACCAACACTAAAGGCTGGACTTATAAATATCTATACAATTAAAACAATTAGTCTCTTTGATAAATTTGAATAAGGCACTAAGAAGACAAATTTCGCGAGATGATATCATTTCGTAGTTTCTTTACAACCGCTTTACAACTAACATGGTTAACAATAATAAAATAAAGTTCATGACAATTACTCAGTTAAATAAAAAAGAAAAATACATATGAATGACCAATCATATTTAAATAGGTCATGTAGTCCATGGTAGGAGAAGGTTGAAGTATAAATTTTTTTGTACAAATAGTTTAGGATGTATGCGATTAGTCTCCAAAGAGTTTCCATCACCTTCAATAACCAACCTTGGATTAGAGTTAAGTGAAATAATTGTGAAACAGTCACCAATATTGATTTTGTGACCTGACATTATTAAATGCTTTGCAATGGATGATGATGGATTTCTTTTCGGTTTAATTGTGTTTGGATTTTCTATATGTTTTAGTAAGCATTTTGGAATATGTTCTCGACGACATTAGAACATTCTATTGGTTCTACTTATATAGGTGTCACCACAACTGCAGGTGAACTTGTAGATACAGTTTGAAGTAGAGTACACAGAATTTTGTCCTTTAATTGTAGGTACAGGGGTCAAAAATGTTTGGTAAAAGAGAAAAGGAGATGCGGCGTAGAATGTGTGTTTGGTGGCTGACCGAAGTCTTAGAGCTGTCAACTGCATAATATGGTCGCCCTTGAACGGTAGGTTAATAAAGATAGCTTCCTTTGGTACAGAAGCTGTCTTTTCGAGATGTGGTCTTTCTTCACTGTGACAAGTGACAAAGTTTTTCAGATAACCATTAGCTAATAAAAATGAATGTATATATCGAAACTCATCCATCAATGTGTCACTCGTGCATATTTTTCATACCCTTGAGAACAAACATTTCACTAGGGAACGTTTATACTGAATAGGAACAAAACTAGTAAAATGAAGACATTCTCCACTCCATGTCTGTTTAGGAAAAATAGATCGCTGAATCGTTCCATCATCTCTCCTAGTCATAGTAATATCCAGGAAACCGAGTTTGTTATTCGATTCTATTTTATTATTGTTAACCATGTTAGTTGTAAAGCGGTTGTAAAGAAACTACGAAATGATATCACCTCGCGAAATTTGTCTTCTCAATGCCTTATTCAGATTCTATACAATTACCTAAGATAAGCGTTTTTATATCTGATTTATGATACTGTACTCTTACAGATTTCGTAAATTTCATACTTGTCGACAGTGAATTCCATCACCATGATCACCGGCAATCTTAATTTTAGAATTGTAGAATCAATGTGGAAACAGTGGTCAAATAAAATTACATAAGAAAAACATTACTTTATACCCTATGGCGACGCAGTGAGAAATTACTCATGAGGTCTTCCTGAAATCATACACAGAATGCAAGAAATATAAGCATATAAAGAGTATCAATATGAAGTTTGCGAAATCACTTACCCTCTCAGGAACTTTTCCTGCTACAAACGAATATCCAGATATTGACTGTACACTTCCCAGTTCCAACAGTGATATAGCAGTAAGTGATCCTTGTACAGGTGAAATCAAAACCTTCACAATACCACCACCTTGTGGATAAAATCCCCTTTTTTTAATAGTCTGATTTTAATAGGCACTTACCTTCTAATGACTTGCAGTTCATAATTCAATCCCAATCGCTTGAAGTAATTCGACGTCACCTGGAGAAAGAACTATATGATTTTGTTGTTTCAGTAAGGTACCTTATTCATAAAGTCAATCGGAGGTGCGAAGGAAGCATCAGTACCACCACGTAATATAACTTCGCTCGGGCCAGACGCGAAAGCCAAGATAGGTCCAACAGCCTGAAGCATCAGCGACACTGATCTGGGTATCGAATTACAGAGTAATCTCCCCTACAACATACCCTGCTGTCTTTGCATCAGCTTCGTAACTGCCTGGAGTAATCTGACCGGGAGTCAAGGCTATTTTCGTTGATCCAAGCGCACAAGACGTCAGGCTACCTGAACAAACCTTCGCTGAAATCTCCAAAGCAGCCAAATGTTGGTTGCTTAAGTTTGAAAACTAGTTTATCAACTACATGCGATGATACCTTAAGCCTGGATTGCTCCGACCAGCTCTTATGTTACATACTTCTACGGGTCTTCCTGTTATCGCTGATATTGCTACAGCACTACGCAGAATCTGCCCACCCTGAAAGACGTATGGAAATTCGATCGATATTTACATACTCCCTCCAACTTGCTGCCATCAACAGATATAATTTGGATATTTGCTTTATTGTTCATCCTCTGCACTCTCCAAATTTAACACAATTACCCTCTCACTAGCAGAACTAACCGGGGCCAAACGGGATATGCCGACGTACAGCTTGATGACCTTGGCCAGTTAAAATCCCACTAAATCCTCAATATCCAATTTCTAATTTACGAGTTTGTGGGGCAAGCGGATTTCTGCTCACCCCTCAGAACCTCTGGATTTAGTATGTTAGTGCCGGATTTTGATGGCTGACAGTAAATTACATCGTCTTAAAGAATTGACATCGCGCAACTAATCATACTAGCCGCAATCTAATATACTATTATTTTAATAGAAAATTTTATTGGACATCCAATATCCAATATCGTTTTTACGAGCTAGTATAAACCAACCTGACTTCTTTTTGCTCGCTTCTTGATTGTAAGGTATGGGTTCCTGATCTTCGGTAAACTTCTGCACAGCTCGTCCCACCACTCGACTGTCGTAGCTTTGGTTGACTCCAAAGGAAGTAGCGCTGGGATTAATTATCTGTGGTTTGTAGTATGGGGTGTGATAAGACTGTTACTACTGTGAATGGAGATGATCCTTTCACCAGTTAGTCCTCCGGTATCGTCGACAAGAGAAAAGAGATAGTAATAATAATAATGCTAATAATAAATATAATTAGTGAAGTTATTCAGACTAACAGACAGAAACGGAAATAGGAAAGCGTAACAACAGTCAGCTAATTAAATTTGCAGAATAATATACATTGGTAATAATAATATTAATAAGTTGTCAGGAGAGTAGGACAGGAGAGAAATTAAAGAAGTAAAACGACGAGTTTGATTGTCTATCCCTGAATGGTGTATGCGATTTTAAGGAGATAGGCCATTTGGATGCAGTCTTTGTGTCGCTGCATGGTTGTCCAGCCTTCGCCTAAAGGCGTCCAAAGACGGTGCTATAACTACATCTGCCGGTAAGGAATTCAAGGGACGACAAACCCGCAGTGAAAAGAAGTGGGGGGCGCCCGGGTACTTGTCCTCTGGTGAGCTATCCTTCTGGGATTTCCACGGGGGACCCTATACCTACTCAATGGCAGAACACCTTTGTTTGGGTGATTTTGGACATTTGTTATTTTGGCAGGCAGTAATGAAATCCCCCCTAAGCCGACGGTGGCTAAGTGTGAACAGGCCTAATTTCTTCAGCCTTTCATCATATAGTTTATTCCGGAAACTGACCACCCGTTTTGCTGCCCGTCGTCAGGCTCTTTCCAATAGGTTGGCGTCTCTTCTCAGCATTGGGGGTGCAATAACATTATGCACCTCAAGGTGAGGCCTGACGTATGTTTTGTACAACCTTAGAAAGAGCTCAGGAGTGAGTGCACCTAACTGTCTATGCGTAAATTGTATGACCGCATATGCCCACGCTACATCTGCCGTGTAATTTACGCTTGTGTCCATTTTTGCCGTTAGAACTATACCGAAGTCACGTTCCGACGTTGTGCAGGACAAGCTTTCATTGCACAGGGTGTAACTTGCATTCTGCAGTCTAAAGGTGCGCAACTTCACTACTTTGCACTTTTTCAGGTTGAAAGTCATGCCACTAGCCACCGCCCAGTCTTCCAGAAGGTTTAGATCTTCCTGCAGCCTGTCTCAGTCCTCCGGACACTTTATTGCCCTCCATATCTTTGCGTCGTTAGCGTATGGGAGAGTCGGGCAGCTTAGACGGCGTGGTAGATCATTGATGAAAATCAAAGACATCAGTGGTCCTAAGATAGAACCCTGCGACACTCCTGATGACGAGCTGTGCCAAGATGATCGGACTCGACTGACCTTAGTGCAAAATTGCCTGTCAGCTAGGTAGTCCTTTAACCATGACAGAAGTGGCTCACCTATGCCTGCCTGGCTTATTTTGTGCAGGAGAAGGTCATAGTGAACAGTGTGAAATGCCTTCTCAAAGTCTAGGAGGACCACATGGACTGGTACATTCATATCCCAGCATGATGCCTAGTCGTCTCAAGCTGACAGCAGGTCAGCAACGCAGGATCTGCCTTTTCTGAAACCATGTTGGGGTTCATGTAGTATATTAGACCTATCGAAATATTCCCTGATGTGGTCGTCAATAATACTTTCCAGTATTAGAGTAGAGCTACTGGTCTATAACTAGTGGCGTTTTGCCTGTCCTCAGCTTTGAATATGGGAGAAAGGATGGCTCTTTTCCACTCCCTTGGCAGTCCCCCTGAATCCATTAAGTGTTGGAACAAGTCGCACAGGGGTCTACAGAGAGCTTCGGCGCACTGTTTCAGAACAGATGGCCTGATGACATGGGGACTTCCCGGGTGTGAGTCGCTGTAGTTTCCTTAGTACATATTGCACATAATGTAATGTATTTCATACAAATTTTAAAAAATTTACATGAAAATATATGCCCTTATTTACAGGCACGATCAAGTAAGATATAGTCTCAAATCTCAGATTGTCTACAAGTTAATCATATTTCAACTGTTAAATATTTGATACATATAATACACTCATTGTCTGAACTAGGCCGTATAGTTGTTGAATTGTACAATTGTCCTCCAGGTTGAGCGGGAAAATCGACTTCGTTTCGTTTTCATCCCGTGGTTGTCGGCATTCGATAACCAACCAATATTGAGGTAAGTACAACTTCTACAGGGGATTCAAAGCTGTTTTAGAAAAGTAAAAGTGCTGAGGTGAATCATTAAATTGTAATGAAATAGGTAAGTGCAAGTATCACTAATAAATGCATTTATAAAGGAAACTCCCTAGGCTGACAACGTTCATTTGCAATGTATAACGCTACACGTATATCTCGTACTATCACGATGCCCACTTTTGGTTTTAATACATTTATCCTCAGCTGTGCCAGTTGTTTTTGTTTTATACCTTTTTGTGCATTTAGTGCACAACCGTACCTTTCAGAGAGTAGGAATATAATAAGTCATAAAAAGCTGTAAAATGTTAGTTTTAATGGAGTAACATGAGGATCAAGTAAAAACGTTATTAGAAAATAAATGACATAAGACATTTTGAAGTGGTATTTAAAGATCTGACAATGGATAGCAAGTTAATTTATAAGATACCCCATAAATCTGCGCAGATCTCGCGTGGTCGCATCTCAACAATGGGATGAGCGAACGGTATATATTTAAAGGCAGAAGCATGATCTGTCAAGGCGTTCATTATTATCTTTTTCAAGATAAAGATCTAAGCCCTCATGAAAATCAGAAATACCTCGAGCCTTCAAATTGCGTATCGCCGTTCCTGCAGAATGGGGCGATTCACCTTAGTGACCACCACCATATCTACTGATCAGCTAGCACCACCCTCCCTCCTACTATCGCGGGGTCTATTTGGGGAGTAGCCACTAGGTCTTCCTCCTGTGAAATAGTGGTGCCACCATTTTGGTCCGTAACTGTAATATCCACATTGCTGTTTAGCTGTTTGTCGAAGGCTGAACTGAATGTTTCAGCCATCTCCAGACTAGTGAGATACTGACCGTTTAGGCCTACTAAGGCACATGCCCCTTGGTTTGTCGGTTTTCTTTCCCACATGAATCGGTACAGGTTTTTGGGGTTTGCTAGGAGTTTTTTAGCAAGGTTAGCCTGGAATGACCTCCTGTCCCTCCTGACTCTTGCATTGCACCGGTTCCTGAGTTCCAGGTATGCATCGTGGCCGGTCTGACTCTTAGATGCACGCCATGTAAACCAAGCCTTCCGCTTTGCTTGCACAATACGTTGCGTGCCTCTCTTCAACCATGACGTCTTTCTCTTGGTCTGTGTTGTGACTAAAGGGACGGTATCCAAGATCGCTATATGAATGATCTTTTTACCACTTCCCAGTGTTCACCCACAGATAGGTCGTCCCATGCTAACGACCAGTCTGCGTCGGACAAGAGCCTCCGCATTTCAGCACAGTCAGCCTTGCTGTAACACAGACATGGTCGCGTAACATCCCACTGCAAACGCTCACGGGGAACAAGATCGAAACCTACGACTGCATGGTCACTGCTTCCCAGAGGAGTCATGATCTGGACCTTTTCGACGAGTAGTTGGTCACTAGTTAGAATATAATCTAGTTTTGATGACTTTCCACTAGGGCCCCACCTAGTGTCGTCTCCAACATTCTCAGTCAGTCCCATGTTTCGAATAGTTTGCAGTAGGTTTCGGCCAAATTTTCCCTTAGCACACCCGGAGCCGAGGTTCAGTGATGGAGCATTGAAATCTGCAGCTATGGTGATTTGGTCGTAGCTCAAATCTCGTATCCCTGTGATAGTGCTGAGCAGTAGCTGATCGTGCTCTGCCCCACAGGTGGGAGATCGGTATATGCCACTCAGTAAGTGCTTGGTGTGGCCTACGGTGAAATGACACCATATGGAGTCTGGGAGTTCAATAGGTGGTGGGTCCGTTGCGCGCACACATTTAAGTTGCCTATCAAAGTGTATAGCAACTCCCCCTCCTTCCTTATTATCCCTGTCTCTCCTGACCAGAACCAAATCACCTATACTGATTTCATTGTCGGCGATAGTGGGGTTTAGCCACGTTTCAGTGAGAATGATCATTTTCAGCTGTAGATGTGCTTGGAGATTTCGGAGTTCACCTACTTTTCCTCTCATCCCCCTCACATTGCTGTATAGGCAGCTGGCAGTGAGTCTAACAACCTCAGCATGTTGCTGGGTGGTTGAAGTGAAACTATCTGCTGTTTAGGGACTTAATGTTGGTACTGGTTGGCCGATTCCGATAGAACCGGGCCGTGGATTTAGGTAGGACACTTGGGAGACACAGACTCTTATTCTCAGGACTGCATCGCTCTAGTGTCACTGAAGCTCAGGGACGTATTAAAGCCTCAGTTTGCTGTCTCCTTAAAGTTAGGGGTCTGCTTTCGCAACATCGGATGTGTCCTTCCATTTTTCCCTTGGTCACATACCACCGTTGAAGTGCTATGGATAACTGCTCTGGGGAGTTGAATGTGACACATAGCAGCTTTGGAGAGTTAATCAATGTTAGATGAGCGGGACGAGGTAGTCGGAAAATGGAGATGGCTCCAGAAGCGCCAAGGACCATCTGAGGTGACAGCTATCTCCATTGCCGTGCGTCGTGCATATGTTTTTCACAAGCAGTGCCGGTTTCCAGCTCCGGAACACCGTGTACCACCATAGAGGTAGAAGGCATCAGTTCCGGTGACTCCCTCGCGATTTGTCTGATAGCCTATGGTCTGTCTTGCCTCACCCTTATGTTCGAACTTCTGTTCAGGGCTAGTACCTGAGCCATTTATAGTACTTCTTCGGCCTCTTCGGTAAAGTCC